ATAAAATTATATTTGTAAAATCTCAGCGAAATTGAAATGATTATTAATTCCAACGTTTCGTTCGGCAATCTGGTCCGAACTTCTTTAGGGAAATTAATCGAAATTAACTTAACAGAGGTTTATATACAAAAAAGGAACATCTCTTGTTTTTGAAACTTTATCCAATCATGCATGAACCATGAAACAGGCATCAACATGTAGAATAAACAAAATTGTATGATCTGTAATCAAAATTTGACCTCAGACATTTATATATATAAACCTATGTTATGTTAATTTCGATTAATTTCCCTGAAGAAGTTCGGACCAGATTGCCGAACGAAACGTTGGAATTAATAATCATTTCAATTTCGCTGAGATTTTACAAATATAAATTTTTACAAATGTCTACTTCTCACTCGGCGCTCAATTATTTTGCAACTATCCGGTCAAATCTTGATCACAGTTCATATGAACTATACACTGTATTTGAATGAATGTTATCATCTTGGAACACAACGACCTCGATGATTTCGATATATACTATGAATGCCATTCCAGAGGATCACATATCCCTTGATGTTCTCTAGCTGTGGGAATGAATGGAAAAAGCGGAGAAGTAGTGGGTCATTGTTGATATGACATATAGCACTGTCGAATAAAGAATATTCATTTCATCTTAGGTTAGATGCATTCGTGAATGCATCACGTGAGAGTTAATTCGAATCAGTGTCTCTACTAAACTTTATCAGATAAGGAGAAGAATTGTAATCATTAGTGAACATGCCGCAGTTTCCTCTTTTCTTGTCATTTGGAAAGTAACATGAAGTGATGTTATCATCCTTTGGATCCTCTTGACAAGTAAGCCTTGCTTGCTTCTCGGGCGATATGATGTCCCTCACTAATTCTACCTCAATTCTCTTTATATTGTTGTTTTAACGTCGTCAAAGCAAGACAAGCTTTCACTACTCTCAAGTCTGTGTGGAGGTCAACAACACTCAGCATCAAAAATAAGATCCGGATTTTCAACTCCAATGTGAAGTCAGTCAGTGCTACTTACTGTGCGGATCAGAGACTTGCACTGCGCGTCATAAAGAGCATCTCAAACAAACTACAGACCTTCATTAACAGCTAGCTGTCTTCGCTCTATACTCAAGATCGGATTGCCCTCCAGAAAAGATCAGCAACAGAGATCTCTGGCAATGAGCGAACCAACACAGAAGGAACCGATTGTGAAACAAATAGGCAGGAAGAAATGGAGATGGATTGGCTGGCCATACTCTGAGGAAACCATCAAGTGACATCACTAGACAAGCCATTGCTCGAGTGGAACCTGAAAGGGAAGCGGCGAGTTGGTCGTCACTGTGAGGGTGATTTGGAGGAGGTCATGTGAAGAGGAGATGAAAACGTGTGGGCAGACTTGGAGCCAGGTGAAGACTGTAGCAGAGAACCGAACGCAATGGAGACGCACGGCTGAAGCCCTATGTTCCTCTAGGAATTAAAGGAAACAATAATATAATATAACAATAACGTCGTCTCTGTGTTTTAATAATAATAATAATATTAAATGGTTGTTTAATTTGAGATTTACTTATAAAATTAAATGCACCTTCTCATCACTAGTTGTTTTCTTTTTTCTTCATTTTAGGCATGTTGTGATTCATTGGACACAAATTCACGTAAACAATTCGATACACTTATGCAACGTCTTCGTAAACATAATTGGTCTGATGTATGGCGTCAAGGTTGCCCAGATATGGATAGTACTAAATTATTGTGAAATTAATTGGGTTTCAATTTCAAAAAACAATGACAATTTAAAACTAGTGGTCTTTTTATCTCTCTCTCTCTGTGTCGTATGATTTGACTCTAGCGAAGAAACTGCCGTCTATTTCAAAATCAATAACACCTTTTTCTCTCTTTGAAGTTGTCGGCTGTTGTGGAAATATGTGAATTCTGCATATATTATTATTATTACTATGTATAAATATTGATGTGACTATTTTGACAATAAAAAAAATATCTCTATCCTTTTTCTGTGTTTGTGTGTTTTAATCACTGACTTATCGATTACTGTGTGTCACTGAGTCACTATTTATCTACCCCGTGAATATCGCCATAGCATGATTTCTTTTTAAAAACGAAAACCGTATTGTGTAATAGTCAACTTGATGTCGTGGTGGCTGGCTAGCGAATAAATACACAAAGAGAGTAGACTTACTCAAATTTAAAACTTGTAACAAAAAAGATTGTCAAGATGCCTAGAAGCGTCAAATCTCAGAAAATGTATACACGTTGAACATTTTGCTTAAGATTTAAGCCAGTTTAATGCAAGCCGATTGACTTGTCAATATAGAAATTTCTGCTAAAGTACATCAATTCAAGTTGCTACAGTTCAGAGAATCACATTATCTCTTGAAATCATTTTTGCGAGCGCGCGGTGAGTTTCCATAACAGTTTGTTGCTTCATTTCATTTATTGTGTGAGGGCTGAGATACTGCCCGGGCGCCTAGACAGAAGCAAGGTGGTTTTCTTAAGGGACCACCAGTCCCCGAACCTTTGACTTGGAGTCTAATCCGCAAGGCAGCGGAGCTGAGTTTCCATGGTTGCCGGTGACCCATATGGGTTGATACGCCATTTGATCCGATTGAATTCTGGAGCCCATGTACCCCATGGTAACTGCTTTTAGTCTAACCGCTATCCAAACAACCTTCCTGACATGGTAGGATCTGCAGGGACATGAGTCCCAGCCAGTTTGCTGTTGAGTTAGCTTGTTCTTTCTTCCCCTCCTGATGATAGTTAACGAATACTGTCTGAACTTGTTAAACATGACTGTTTTCCTTCCAGATGAAGTTCTTTATCCGTTTTCTACTTATATTTTTACTTTTAATCTATGTTGTTTTATTATTATTGTGTGGCGCATCTTTCTTGGTGCCAAATTGTACCAAGTTTTTTCTGCGTTTAAATAAAATAATAAAATAGAGAATCACATTGCTAAATGTAGGTTAGTATTTCCGAAATCTGGATACTAACTATGAGTCATTAATTTGGCGCTATTGAGAATGACAATTGAATCTTAGCATCTTGAAGAAGAGCTCAGCTGAGCAGTCTACACTTCGCCATCTGGCTCAAACCAGCAATCAGAGACTTCATTAATCGGCATCATGTTCTCATCCTACCACTCCTATCATGCTTTATTAAACTAATTCTTTGTTACTTATGACTGTTTACCGAGGGAGACGATAGTTCCGCACCTATGCGACCTCATCGATTTTCTTCCTCTCCTTACTTATTACTACGCCTAACGTCGTCAGTATTACCGATTATATGGTTTCATCTAACATGAAAGGATTGGATGGTGAGAAACTGCTGCTAGTCTCTTCATATCTTCCACTTAACTGGCCATATCATACAATCTCGTGTAAAGTAGAATGGGACAGTACTCGCGTTGTATGACGGTTAGATAGCCACCACTACATTGCTGAAGGAGACACAGTTTGTGGTAAGTGTGTTAAACGAATTTTTTGTATCCATGATGAGATTTTATCAGCAGTCAGTCTATTGGGGCTAATGTGATTCATTCCTGAAATAAGTAAAATTAGGAATCAATCCAGACTAGTCAATGCCGCATCATCTTACCAATTGACAGGGATGAATCTCATGTCGAATATACACAAATATTCGGGTCAAAGTGTTCAGAAGACTACTTTTTCAGCATCTTCATGTAAACGGATAATATCATCTATGTACTCTAGACTGAGGAGACTATCTCCTGGTAATGAGTCAGTTTGCAAACCATGGAAGTCGAGCAGAGTTACATCCACTATGCATCTATAATAAAAATTAAACATGAATACTAACAGTAGACATCCCTTACAGATACTTGGTTGTCGAATAGAATGCCACAGACTTTCTGCGCGCTCAATTCACATCCATATCATAAACAGTTATACTTTGATTGACTACGAAAACTGATATATGTCCCCTTATACTAAGTAGGTCAGCTACGGTAACTTATGCTGTCACGTGTGTCAACCTATTGATATTCTTCTATAATTTCGAAAACAACAACAACTTGGATTTACTCGACTTCGTCTGTAGAAGACGAAGAAGGCATTAAATGATACGCAAAAATTATGAATGAAATTGCTCTCTCTTAATAATAATAAAACACGTCAATTACACAGCACACTTACTCGATTTTCTGTCTTTGATAATGAAAAGTCAATAAAGTGTTACGCATCTCTGTAACTGAGTTATTATTCTTATCAGAATTAGTTAGTTGTACAAATAGATAAATACAAACAAGACTACTAAATAAAGTAGTTACTTTATTTATTTATTCCCTTCTAACACTATCGCCTTAATAATTTTTAAAAAAAAGAAAGAAAATGAAGTGTTTTGCTTCAAATAAATATCTTTTCAGCTCAAAAAAATCATTATGATTTCAAAAGCAAAATGAAGGAGGAAGGCATTTCTCCTCATATGGAGGGAAGCAGGGGGGGCATAGGAATAATCTGATTAATAAAATAAATTAATAAATCTTTTGGCGGCGCCGTGGGACGGGGGGGCGTTGGGTTGGGTGAAATACTTTGGGATGAATGATAAAAATGATACATTTAACGAAGAAAAATGAGAAAAAAAAAGTGAATCAAGTTATCTACAACAAATAAAAGAGATCAAGATTGTCTTACATCGGGTTTTTGTGACTGTGTGTTTGTGTGTATGGATGACATAATTTAGGTACTGTACAATGATGATATAAATTACTGCGACTGGCTTATAAGATTATACAACAGTTAAACAATATTACTCTTATTTTCATCGGGAATCATTTCACATTCTGACGGATAATCCATTTTCATAGAAGAATAACATGAGAGGACATTATATGTGGGAAAGTTATTTACAACAACTGTTGATGTTGTAATAGTCGATGGTGCAGTAGTAGTAGTGGGTGGTGGTGGTATTGTCGGTGTTGTTGTTGTTGTTACTGCAGTAGTAGTAGTAGTTGCAGGTAGTAGATTTGCATTCCTCGGTTTACGTCCTCTTCTTGGTTTATCACGCATATGCGTTTTAGTATGACGATTACGTTCATCTGACCGGGCAAATCGACGATCACATAGTTTACATTCATATGGTCTTTCACCAGTATGTGTACGACGATGTGTCATTAAATGATCACTACGTGTAAATCCTTTCTTACAGATATCACATACAAATTGTTTAATTTCACTATGTGTACGTTGATGACGTTTAAGTTCATCAATTCGAACAAAACGTTTATTACAATTCAGCATACCACAAACAAATGGTTTCTGTTGATCAGATAATTTTAATTGATACTGTTTATTATTTTGATGAGGAGGAGGAGGAATTAATGACAACTCACTTGATATAAATTCTTTTTTACAAATATTATTATTATTAGTAGTATTACAACAATATTCTCCTTGATCATTATTTATCCTAGGGATATTTGTTGATAGACTCGTAGAGCAGCAGGTATGATCAATTGCTGGATGCATATAATTTCTATGATTGATCATATTGTTGTTTACACTAATGTTATTATTATGACTTGTTGTGATAGTGTTACTATTACTAACATCATTATTATTACTGTTATGATATGTAGTCCATGGTATATGTGTTTCCAGTGAAGTGTATACAACATTATTACTGTTATTGTCATATGGGCAGGCATAAATCGATGAATTCATGTCGTCAATGGTGAATTTGGTCGGATGTAGAGATGTATCAGTAGACCATTGATCAATTAGAACATTTGTATTATCATAATTAGGTACTGGAGTTATAGGCGATAATAAGGACAAATTATCATTTTGTCCTTCAGATTTAATCGGCTGATTAGTCGTAGATGAAGCAGGATATGATTCTAAATTGCAATAGACTAATGGAGTTGATGACTGAGTTACAACATAGTGATTTTCACATTCATTCAATGGTTTTAAATATTCTACTCCAAATAGTTGTAAATTATTATCATTATAATATTCCGCTACTCCACGAGTGTGAAAACTTTGATCACCTTCAGTGACGACTGCTGGTTCAGCTGAAATTTAAAAAAAGAAGAAGGGAAAAATGAAACCGTTAAATTTTGTCAAGGTTTTCAATATAAATCTTTCAATAATAGAAGAAAAAAAACAACAGTTGAACTCACCTTTTATTGTTGTATTCGGTGGGTAAATAAAGTAGTTGTCCGACTCTTTGTCAAGTGGTGTTGGAGTATTTAAATTTTCCCATTTTGAAAAATCTCGAAAACTGTCATCTGATGCATTAGTTGGTGTATGACCAGTTGGTATATCGTTGAAAGCTGTTTTAATATCACCTGTAGGTAGCATCCAGTCGATTACACTGTTGCTTAAAGTTTGTAACATCTTCATTTACTTAATAATGTTCATAAAACGTGCAAATTTCCGGCTATTTATATGGTTGAATAAGTCTAGTCATCTGTAACCAATAGCATACATTCCACCAACGCATTGTTATTTTAAGTAACTAAAATTCGTAGCTAAATATGTCAACCAATAAAGAGTGAACAGGTGGCTTCAGATAACCTTGAAATTAACCAATCAGAATATTATATTTAATTTCAGACATTATAGTCCACACCCCTATTATTTTATATCAACGTGATCGGTTGCCAGCAGATGACTATTATTGCTACCATTTTAGCTAGGTGTTTGGGAGAGAAAAATGGTGGGTGTGATTTTACTTATTTTCCCAAAAATATATTTATATCAAAAGTACTGAGAATTTTTAAAATGAATGAGAAACTTCTATTCAATTCTTGTGACTTCTTAATATCCGTTTTATCATTTAATCTTGATTGATTATTAATTTGATTTGCATGAATGGCATACTGTCTTTCAGTCCACATAGCTAATTGGCTTCAGATAGCAAGCGACCAAGCCGTTTCAGTTAAATAATTAAGTCACAGATAACTGAGAAAAATTTTTTTTAAATTGATTGACTTGGAAATATTTTATCATGAACTGATTGAACTTGATACATACATGAAAACTATACAACATGTAAAAACTGTTTATTCTATAACTATGTTTTTTTATGTTGTACACTTTATCAAACAGACTTCATGGCTAAAAAATTATAACTGAATGACTTTTGTTAAGACTTTTACTTACTTCGTGACTCTAAACTACAGTAGCCGATAACGAAACTACCTAAATAATACCTTGACTAATATCTATCGACCAATCAGACACATCGGAAGCAGAAGTGCGTAATTTGAAGAAAAAAAGTTTATATATAAGTGATTCAACGTTAAAAATAGAATAACTTCCTTGTAAGTGTTCCGAGAAAAGCTTCCGACTTCTCAAAGGAGTTCTCACGGTTAGGTTAGGTTAGACCAATTTCGGTGCGTAAATTCCTCGAGATAACTGTATATCATCGTGTTTCTTGACTGATTCACCGCTCCGACCCCCTTTTTTAGATGACTGTAAAAGCTTTCGATGTAATTTGTGTGGATCCGATAGAAAGGCTTAATAAAATCTTCCGTATTATACACTATGAATATATTGTCCACGAATGACAGTTGGTTACACATTTTCAATGAGTCTGTGGTCCCAGCAGTACTAAATACTAAATTTGGTATATAATTCGTATACAGCACCCATAATTCCGCCTATATCCTACGGACTCATCTGATTGGTCGCTCAGGGTCATTAATCCGCTCACTAGGTAGTTTCTTTTTCGACTGCTATAGTTTAGAGTCACCCTTACTTAAGTTCAGATTTAGTGTGAAAGTTTTATTTTAATTGATGAAACATTACCTGTGATTGTTGTTTGGTAGAATGAGCTTTGTGTGTTAGAGACTGATTGGTAAAACTGAAAGTTACTCCATGGATTCAGCAAAAAGTACTCCTAAGCTCCAGTGTTAGTCGTCATCAAATTCGTAGCACTCAACTGAAATTCGTGTTGGTTTTTTTAGGCATCTTTTCAAACAATCCGTGTTCCAGCAGAGACTGGAAAATTTGATCTGAACAAATCTACAACGAAAAATTATACGTATATAGCCACTTACGAATATTCTGTCAAACTCTTTAGAGATTGATAAGTTCCCCCTATGTAAATACAACCACATGTATGTTTAAACTGACAGATGTAATGCCAGGTGGCATCATTTTCCGTAGGTTCTGAGGGCTCAGAGAGATATACAGGCTTCACATTCTCAATTATCCGAGTCTTAGCGACCACAGTGTCCAATCTTTTTCCAAGTATCAAGTTACTATGACCATCTGTGCAATATAATAGTTTGATAGATGCGTCATCTTTAGTGGCAATTTGGAGAATGGATCTTAGTGCGCTAACTACTTTTTACCCCTTCACGAACTCCTCTGGTTAACTATTTTCAACCAGAGATTCTGTTAATTTTTTTTCGCTTTCACATGTGTCATCGGTGCGTCTTTGTTGTTGTATCCAATTAAAAACTGACATCTCAGCAAGGCCTGTATTATACTGAAATAAATAGAAACTGTGGTAATTAAGATACTCTGCTAACCAAGTATGTTTTGGTAATCGTATTAATCCGTTAGTTCGTCGATATATCTAGGAAAGGTAATCACTTATCTCTCTTTTCTAATGCATGTAAGTGATATGCTCTTTAGCATTTATCAGATTAAATGTAAGTCTAGTCACACATATATACGTGAACAGGGAGGACTTGTCGATTTCCACAACTAAGGGTTTCAGATAGTATTTCTAAGTGTCTTCAGAAGTAGTATGAATCCCTGTAAACTATTAATGGTTGAAAAATAGATTTTCAAGAATTAGTTTACAGTCATCTGATTTATTCCAAGTCTGACAGTGGGTTAATTTAAGTTAGAGAATCATTAGAAACAAGCAGGGATTACTGGTGGACAGCTGTTTCGTCCTAATTTAGGATTCATCGGTGACACTCAACCTATGGAGTTTGAATCCAGGACTTTACGGTTACAAGGCAAGCTCGTAAACCACTCAGCCCCTGAGAACCAACTCAATGGCCAGTCCATGAATTCTAATTTCTATCAGTTGGGGATTTCAGCGTGACTAACACCAGCCGGTGTCGTTGGCGAATATTTGTCCTAACTCCCGAGCATGAAGTGAACTACTCCAGTGTCGTTAGCTTAATGATGTTCATACTATATACTGAAAATATAAGCCATCAATTGTGGATATTCCGTTTGCTATTGGATGAATAACATGAATCGTCATTGTATAATTAAGTTGATAACAAAAAGGCTTACATTTCTTTTGCTACTATTTGGAGAACTGTGAATCACGAATTGGTAGAAGTTAGAATTCATGATCCATTGAATCAAGTCCCAGTGGCTGAATGGTATACGAGCTTGCCTTGTAGTCGGAAGGTCCTGGGTTTGAATCCCAGTGGGTGCGTACTGCCGATGATTCTCAAACTAGGATGAAACAGCTGTCCATTACTCTCTGGTTTTCAATGGTTCTCTAACTGACATCAATCCATGGTAACCTCGTATGTTAAGTCCTTCTAAATAAATAAGAAAAATGCTAACAACCGAAAATTTGTTCAGAATTCAAACCGGCAAATGGAATTGAGTCACGAATCGTAGATAATTGGATAAAAAACTCATGTGGTCTTTATTCAAATAAATCTAGCTGATGATTTCACAAACAAATTAGTGTAATAATAACCCATTTTTGTTTTTTGATGATATTAAATTTAGATACAGTAATTTTCCAAAATTTAAAATAGAAAATTTTTTTGTTGTTGAAATGTACTTTTCAAGCTTTATGTATCTTTTTAGATTTTTCCTTACTACTAAGGTTAGGATATCGAATGATTCAGAATATTATTTTAGTTCATGCTTAAAATAGCCAAATACTGAAATTAGAAATATTCCTTATTTTTAATTATTGATTTTTTTTATACGAGCTAGTTACTTTTAATAGACTAACTGCATTATGCATTAAAAACATGTCTGATTTTGGAATTTATTTCGTCCCATTGATTTTCTAGTCACATGCATATTGCATAGAGAAAAAAAGCTTGAAAATAACGCCCACGACTTGCGTCATGCCAAATACATCTGTCAGTTTTTGTCAAATGCTAACCCTAACAATTGATTGGTTAATTTTCAGATTAATTGACCTTCACTTATGATTGGTTATTTAAGCGAAATAATCGACATAATCGTATTCGTCATCGGGCTGATTGAATTACTTCTAATCTTAGGCATTTGATGACTGGTAGGTAGTTTTGAAAAGCATACTACGTATAATTGAACGATCAGCTATGAATTTTTTTTTCAAAATAAAATTAATGATTCATTTCAATGTAGATTGGTATAATGTATCTTTCTACAATGTTAGATTCTACTAAGCCTAAGTACAGTAATGGGAGTAAAAATTATTTAAGTGAGAAATATTTGTTTACGTAATGGATGTTTAAAAAAACATCACATGATGCTGCAGAAATAGTATAACTGACGCACTATCTTATTTCCTTACTCATCACATCATAAAAATGATTGCGTATATTTGACGAAGTTAAACTAAAGTAGTCACTCCGGTACATGACTTTCAACAACCAGTTGGAGTTATGGATGTTATAACTAAATTAAATCATGCCTTTCTGTTCTGGATTTGCTTAACAGGTTCGACTACTGTGTGAATAATGGACTATTTACAGCTACCAAAAACATGTATTTATGAAGAGAGTTGGATAGGATAACTTATCTTTTAAGAGAACATAATCAGAAATATGAATGGATCTTAAAACAGCATAATGTCGGATCGTCACTTTTTTAAAAACAATTTCGCGGCTTTTTTTGCTCTTTAATTATGATAAGTCGCTCCATGTCATTGGTAAACTGGACTGGGACAGCTACTACAGTTTAATTTCTCCGTTTGTTAAGTAAATGCAGTTAGTGCTGAAGCCGTCGCTAAGTGTAATGACTATTCATGTTTCATGGTTCATAAATTGCCGTTTATATTTGCTTACTCCTTGTTTTGCCATATATATCTTTTGTAACTTTCCCATCCATTGTTATGTTCAAAAACTGGAAATACCTAGTCTGACGTCTATTTAATATTACGTCATTTTATCTGAATACAGAAGAAAATAAAAGCAGGGCTGTAGAATAGTGACATTTAAAAACACACCTTTAACGTTCTTTGTATTATCCTCCTCATATTGTAACCTTAATTTCTTGTTCAAGTATCCCAATTAATGATGAAAAACTGTAAGTTGAGTCATTCAGTGTAGCTATAATAGAAATCTGGAGTGATTCATAGAATTAGTGTGTGTAATCCAGCTTTACAACTACGCGCTGCCCCTTGAAAATAGAACGTAAATTAATAATCAGTCGAATGGTCATTTCTTGTCGGAAAATAAGCGTGAATATGTCTACGTTAGAGCCACTATTTTTTCTAAACCATTGTTTATT